GACTTATATTGCTTACAAACTGTATGGCCATGGCAGGCTTCTTGCTAACTGTTCTTATATCTTAAATTAATCCATTTCTATAAATCTATGCCTTGTCACACGGCTCGTGGCTTACCAGTGTCTTACATGTTGGTGCTCATGGCGGTAGCTGGCAGCATCTCTCGCTCAACTCAGCCTTCCTGTTCCCAGAATTCTCTTGGAAAAAAAGAAAAGGGGAAGTGCTGTGGGATGTTCTGTATGTCAAATGTGTTGCTCTGATTGGTTAATGAATAGAACACTGATTGGCTAGTGGCCAGGCGGAAAGTATGGACAGGACTGGTAGAGAGGAGAGTTCGGAGAGTTCAGGGAGGTAAAGGGCTGAGACAAAGGGACACTGCCAGCCGCCGCCATGACAAGTGAGATGTAAGGTACCGGTAAGCCACGAGCCATGTGGCAAAGTATAGATTAATAGAAATGGGTTAATCTAAGATATAAGAACTAGATAACAAGAAGCCTGAGCCATTAGGCCGAAGAGTTTAAATAATATAAGCGTCTGTGTGTTTATAAGTGGGCTGTCAGACTGCCGGGGCTTGGCGGGACCTGAAGAGAAAACTCTCTAGCTACAGTTCTCTTGAAAAACCCCTGACCTGTGGTAATGCGGACGTAGATGGTGCATCCACAGCTGTTCTCTCTAGCAGCCACTGTGAGTTTCACCAGACAGAAGAACAGCAGAAGATGCAGAGCCAACCCAACGGCATCTCCTAGGGATGGCGCTCTGTGCAAACGTCATCATCACATCCCAGATCATTCGTATCCCCCAGAGAGGCTCTCGCCTCCATCTCTGTCCTCAGCAGCTACTCCACCTGTCTCTGTGTCTTCCTTTCTCTTTCTTCCCCTTGCTTGTCTGGAATGGTTTTCTGTTGATTCTGTGTTGCTATTTCCTGTCATAATTTAACAAGCAGGCCAATCTCTCTCCCCACAAGGATGGCCAGATTTAACAAAACAAATGGTGCCCAGTTCATCTGAATTTTGAATAAACAGCAAGTATTTGGGACATAGGTCAAAAAGTAATTTCTTGTTTATCTGAAATTTAAATCAACCTGGGAATCCGACAGTATCTGGCAGTGTGAGCCCACGCTCACGGTAGCTCTGTGTAGGTCTCAAGTGTTTTCTTGTGGTTCTTCAAAATAAAAGGATGCTCTACCAGAGACTTTGTAATTCTCTCATAATCTAAAAGATATGATTAAACATTTCCCAAATGTTCCAGAGAGTTTTGGGTCTCTTGTTTGTGCGTGACACCCATGCCTGGGGCTATAGGAAGCTCTTTGAATCCAATGTCACCACACGTGCCCCTCCTGAACCATCCCAGAGGTCAAGGGAGGTTGCAGGGTGGCCAAATGCTAAGAGGCATATCAGGCCTTCAGGAAAGAAAAGGTTAATTTTGCCTCCAGTTGGGGTGAGGCAATTAAATTATAAGCTTTTTCTTTCATTTTTATCTTTTTGTCTTGTATTTGGTATCTTCTCAGAATGAGAAGTATGGGGACAGGAAAGAAAGAATTCCTCTTGCTGGGGCTCCTTTGGGTGTCCTCGGGAGTGAAATACAAGCGAAGGTGTGCCGGCGGCGAACACTGCCCGGTGATGTGAGGTCAGTGCTGACAAGACCCGGCTACCCAACCTGTCACACTTTCCTGCTATCTGAACAAAACAGCTTCGGCATGTGAAGGACACCGAGTCGTCTGAAGGAATCAGCACCCCGCACCTCCTTCCATCCTGAGTGACTCCAGGAACTGCTGGAAGTCCCACAAGAAGCCCCACAGGAGCAGAGCCCATTCCCAAGGTCCTGAGGAAGCCTGCCTCCGGGCGCTGCCATTTCTTGGCGGTGTGGTCCAGGCCAGGCTTTCTGCTCTGCCTGCTGGAGGACAGCCATCCTTATTGAGTGTATTTCCAAGAAAGCAGTTGACAGGCTTTGGCAGGGCTATTCCTGGAAATGTTCAATAGGCCATCCTCTGGCAAGGCCTGCTGCTGCTGCTGCTGGGTCTAAAGGGGTACCGCGTGCTCAGTGCCATCTAGGCCGGGCCTATTCCCAGGTGCCTCTGAGTACCAGCCATTCCCAAATACCATGGGCTGTCAGCTGGCCCGGGCTGCGGGCCTCTTCAGAACTGCTTCCTCCCTGGCAGGACGGATGCCAGCCCGCTTGCTGCTAAATGAAGACAGACGCCCTGTGACTATAAATTATAAAACTGCAGATCCAGCTGAGGAGCTTGCTGTGCGTCCCTGCAGTAAGCTTGGTGGGATGTGTGCACGCGCATGCGCGCGAGATACACACACACACACACACACACACACACACACACACACACACACACACACACGCTTGACCATAGCCAGAGGGCATTAAATACAGCAGCTTTGGCTGTTTGGAGAGGGGCCAATGCTATTGCGAGGCAGAATAGCTCTTAGCAACCCTCAAATGTGAGAGTTTCCTTCAGCTGTCTACCGCAGTGTGGACCAAGGCTTCTCGGGACCAGCACTCCATGCATTTGGGGGGGTCCATTTGCATGTTGGGGGTCCTGTGTGAGCATCCCTGGTCTCCCTCTACTACCATGTCAGCAGCAGGCTCCACTTGGCAGACAAAGACAAAGGAGGAGGGTCTGAACTCTCTGGAAGGTACAGGCTGAAGATCTGGTCTCTGAGCACAGGGCTGTGAGGGTCCCGAGAACTGCTTCAAGCCTCTCCTTCCCAGCACAGGCTGCGCTCTTGGGGAGACCCAAGGTCACATTTGCTTTTGGAAGCAGGACACAGACAGACTGATAGGTGGACAGATGGATGAACATACATACGTACATACACACACACACACACACACACACACACACACACACACATTCCAGATGTTGCTGAAAATCCCCCCTGGAAGGCAAAATTGCCCGTAGGTGAAAAAAAATCACAATCTAGAAACCAGGAGCTGGGCTCCCGGAGTCGGGGGGGGGGGGGGGGGGTAATGGGTGATGCTAGAGAGAGGGAAGGGCTATCTCAGAATACCAGGCAAGTCATGGAATCTACGGGTCTCAGTTTCCTCATCTCTAAAATGGGAACAAAGAAAACTGTGGGAACCAGGGTTTACAGAGGCTGGGACAGGGGACACGCTTCCAGGGGTGTTTAGTCTACAGATGAAAGCAAGCAGCCGAGGTTTAGCAGAACTTAAGTCAAGGGCAGGGCTCCGCTGAAAAGAAAAAGCCAAGGCTGGTATTTTTTTTTTTTTTTTATAAGATTTCCCGACTCAGAAGTGAAAACAAACACGGACTTTAGCCGGGTTTCTCTCCCTCTTCTCCTTTTTTTTTTTTACAGAAGTACGGTGCTGTGCCCCGGAGGTTAGCGAACAAGCTTTCCCCTAGCATTTCTTCAGAAAGGCTTTGGAAGATTTTTTTTGGTTGTTATTGTCGTCGTTACAACCCCCCATCCCGCCCCCTTCATCATCCTGGGGAATTGTGTTCCTCTGATGGAAGAATAGAAAGCAGTGAGAGGGGATGGCAGGGGTCGGGGGGTGGGGGTGGGGTCTCCTCGATGCTCTTCACAGAATTTGTACATTTTTTTTTTTCTTTATAGTCAGACACGGAAACTGGCTGGGAAATACCCCGTGCCTATAGGCAGTCGCTGTTGCTTTAAAACGGCTTTGCTGTTATATAATTCACTGCTGGCCTCTCCCTCCAGCTTTCAAGGAACTGTAAAGACACCTTGAAAGGTCTCTCCTGCTCCTGTCGGCAGAAAGGCAGAAAACACGAAGGCGAAAGGGGTGGGGGGGAGGTGACCTGAACCCCCTGCAAGGTACAGGCTGAAGAGGACAGGGCTGTGTGGGTCCCGGGGACTGCTTCAAGCCTCTCCTTCCCAGCACAGGCTGTGAGTGCTCTTTCGGAAGATCCAAGGCCACATTCGCTTTTGGAAACAGGACACTGTGATTAATCAAAGGAAACAAAACCAGCTTCGTTTCCTATAACACGTCCACGGAGGGTTTTTCTAAGAAAAACCTTGATCAAAATGTTCCTTCTGTTTTCCTAAAGGCCAAAGAGGAGGGATCCATGGGAGCTGGGTCCTGAAGAGTCCCCCTTCTCAGAAAAGGGCTGCGTTATGCTAACTCGCTCAAAGCAGCAGCAGGGTGGCGTCTGCTACAGCATCATTGGCCCCTCTGGTAAAAAAGCGAGTGCTGTCTTGTTCCCACAGCCTCTCACAGGTACTCACCTGCTCTCCCTGGGCCATTCTGATCAGACAGGCTTCCTGGAAGATCTGGGGCACTGAACGGAACACTGAGCACGAGGATCAGAGAAAGCAGGCAGCTGGGAGTCCGGCAGGCAGCTCACACGGGCTGGCCTTGAAGAAGAAGGGGTTCTCTCTGTAGGTAAAAACTGAGGAGGGCTGATGCAGTGCGACAAAGAGGCAAACCAGGTACTGCCCGGGGTGCCCCATAGACGCAGAACTCAAATAAATAATATTTGAATGGAATGTGTTTAAATAAAAATGCATTTTTAAATGTCTACAGTGAACAAAATCTCTCACGTTCTAAGTATCAGTACGCGCTTTCACAGGTACACCAGCGGTTGGCACACTCTTGACTTTGACATTGGAAAGTCTCTAAGGGGTGGACCAAAAGAGCCCTGGATTTCGAGACAGAAAAGCGGCTGACCCCATGAGGATGCAAATGCACCTTCAACCTCTCGGACTGTTCCCCTGGGCTTAAGCCTGGCCACGTCTCCTTCGCAGGATTTGTGAAAATGAAATTGATAAACCATAACCGATGGCAGCCATAGAACATACAATGGAGTATGATGATGCCGGACGTGGTGGGTCAGATGGGATGGTCTTGGCGAGTAAGGAAAGAAAAGTCAAGATGGGGGGTGGGGGATGGAGGGAGGTGCCAGGGCAGATGTGCGGAGGAGCATGGGAAGAGGCTGAATTTTGGATTCTGGCCTGCACTGGAGCGTCATCTCAGCTCTTTACAGTTGACAGAGCCTCTCTTCATCTTCCAAATGTGATAAGCCTCAGTTTACCTAGTCCTAAAGTGGGAGAGAGGGAGATGGAATAATGGAATGTCCTGAGTATTGTCCGCACAAACCTAGTGTGGTCCATGGCATTTGCACGCAGGTGCACACACACAGAGAGAGACACATGTGACCTGTCCTGGGGAGAGAAGGGGACAGAAGAACTGGAGAGGCAGGGAAGGGCACTTACGGATACTGGAGGAAGGGGAAGAGAACCAAGGAAGGGAGAGGGGGCTAACTCAGATACCATCCTGGACTCAGGATCCTTGGACAGCAAGTCAGCCCCAGTTTCCCCGGAAATATCCTTGGAAAGAATCAAGCCTATGATATATTTGACGTTTCTCTGTGCTGACACACGGAGCTCTGATTCAATTGTTTTCCTCGAGTATTCTAGGACATTCTATCCTTTTCATCCATCCTCCTGAAGGCTGACATTTAGTCATACTACTTGAGAAGACGTCTAGCCTATCGATGAAGGTTTATTATCTCAGTTGGGTAAAGAAACAGAGAAATCATTTTTTTCCCTACTCACTGATTCTGCCAAACCTCCATGCCTTGCCCTTTGGTTTAAGAGCCAGTGGAATTCTGGGAGTGGGTGGAGAACAGAGAGAGGTGAGCAGCAGGCAGGTAGGTGCCCTGCACCCAGCTCTGCCCTACTCCAAAGCCCCTGAGCAGAGCTACTGCAGAGAAAATGGTTTCTCCTCCAAGGCTGAGCTCCTTTGAATGGGTTCCCTGTGCCTTTCATGGCAGGACAAAGAGGCAACGCTGTCTGTGAGCTGGGGGAGCCGCAACTGACAGACAGATGAGCCCCTGGAAGCCAGCCTTTATGTTTCCTTACCAAAGACGGGGAGAAGGAAATGCCAAGAACTTAAAAGAATAAATATTCTAGAAATAATTCCTGACTGTCTCTGGAATGCGTCCTTCTTCCCCTAGTAGACTTGTTTCTTGGAGACTGTTTGCTTTGGCTACAAAAATCGGTCTGCATTCTGCAAGCACCCACCTGCTTCGGGGGAGTTACTGCCGCCCCTCTGGCAGCTGGGAGAAGGCTGCGGGGAGGCTGGACTGGCCTCCTCAGACAGCCTGCTGCAGGGTTAACCCATTAGTCAAGGACACAAGGGCTGGGATCTAGGGCACAAACTTGACATGATACCAAAAATTCAGTAATCAAGGTAATGGATGCAGTGCTCAAAAAAAAAGTACTGTAAAAATCCACAATGAACAAAATATGAATTTTAAAATAAAGACAAAAATCTGTGCAGAAGATTCATTCGGTGCAGCTGGGAAGGGCTACAATCAGAAGCCTTTGTTTTGTTTTATTTCAATATTTTTAACATCTATTTATCATGTACATATGCATATGTGGGTGTGTCCCCAAAGCACGTGACTATGGGATAGATGACAACTTAAGGTCGTTGGTTCTCTCCTTTGACATGTGGGTTCTGATGGAACGCAGGTCATCAGCCTATGGTGGCAAGTACCTACAGCAGCTAAGTCCCCTCGCCAACCCCATCAGATCTGAGGCCTTTAGTGTGGGAAAATCTGGTACCACCTTAGCAGGACAGGGAAGAAACGGTACCCATCACTTCAGAAAATGGTTATCTGCCCCACATCTGGATGACGGGCTGTCCACAACTATCAAACTCACA